AAGGACATTTCAATAAAATTTCAGAATTCCGTTTATAATGACACTTTTGTCAAAAGATTTCTTCCATGGGCTGATTTCGATGAAATTATCGGTAAAGCCAGTGTTGAATCAGATAGAGGCGGCGTTAGTAATTTATATAGTCTTTTGTTAGAAAACTATATTGAAGAAAAATTCTATTTAGCATATTATGGAAAAATCCTCATGGAAAAATTTTTGATTTTAAATAGTAGCTGGTTGGTTAACAAATTATATAAGAGTTGTATTAAAAAGTGTTATAACGACGAGGATGACCATGATTTACAAACAAATATTCAAATACTAAGTATTATTACTCAATTTTATTCTGATTTAATTGAAAAAAATCCTACTATTCTATACGGATTTTTATCAGAGCTTGCATTTTCGATTCCTTCTATTGAACATTCCAGTAAATATTATTGTACTTTATCATCATCACCTCATCTTTATCATTATGGTTCATATGATTATTTGTATAAAACATCACACATTAACATAGCTTTTATTATTTCTAAATATTGGCTTATTTTTAAGAATAAGCATAAAGATTTATTTATTCATATTCATAAATGGGTTTTAAAGCCATTCACAGATTATTATAGGAGGATTAATAATATAAATCGCAATGCAACAATTATATTTTTATCTCCTTTACCTAATTTTGTTAGTTATCCAAAAGAATATAATACTTTTAAAGAATTATTGAAACCAGTGCCTAGCTCTTTTGCAAAATCAATTGATTTAGAATTATACAAGACTTGGAATTGTGAAGCTATTTTAAATTTCAAGTGGAATACTTATGGAAAATATTACTACTTATTTATAGTAATGATTTATATGACTTTTCTTTGTTCATTTACTGGAGTGGCAACTTTATCAAGCCAAATTTCTTGGACTCACCAACAAACTCTTTTAGTAGTCTCCATTATATTTGGTATTTGGCATTTTATTTTCGAACTTCGTCAGTTCGTTTATTCTCCTTTACTTTATATTACTTCACCATGGAATTTTATTGGTAACTATTCGTTTTAACGCTAACATTTTTATGTTTCTAGATATTTTTTTTATCTCTTATTTTTTTATTGTCATAAAGATTTAGGTGCAATTTTACTCCCAACCATAACTTCATTTTTATGGCTTCGAGATCATACCGCACCAATTTGGATGATTACTTTTTCTACATTGATGCTTGAATTAAAATTTCTCACCTATTTTCGGGCCTTTACATATACTGGTGTTTATTTTGCAATGATAATCGGTGTAGCTAAAAGAGCCTTTTTATTTTTAATTATATTAGCTGTGATAGTATTTGCTTTTGCACATTCCTTACACATCTTGCTAAGACCTGCCGCTGATGTATCTCTTAATCAACCAAGCTATTCGGATGATCCAAATGATCCCTGGAACTTAATAACAAAATATTATACAGTAAATTCGGATGGTTCTGTTAATGAGACACCTTCTCTCCTTGAACCGCCTAATGCAAGTACTAATATGTTTTCATCATTAACAACTGCAATTGTGGCCGTTTACATTATGCTTACGGGTAATTATCTAGAAAATATCATATCTGATATTGATTTACATAATACGTATATTAATTTTTTTTAATTATAATATTTAATAGGAGATTCAACTTACTTGTCTCCCTGGGTTTTAAATGACGATAAAACTTTAATTGTCCTAATAATTGCATTTTCTTTTTTTACAACAATTTATTTAATGAACTTGTTTATTGGATTGCTTGGTGGTGCAATAAATGAAGTAAATAACAAAGAAGATTTTTTGCTTCAAAGAGCAGAGGTAAGTTCTATTTGAAAATTATTTTAAACCTATTTAATCTAATGATCTCAATTTATTAATGTCTTACAGGTTTTAACTGAGATTGAACTATTTTATATGCTACCATATCAAAGAAGGAAGTATAATTGGTTCCCGAATACAATGTTTGTATAATTTAATATTTATTAAATAATAAGTTTTATTAACGGTTATAGTAATTTTATAACGTCTATGTATTTAAATAGTTTTTATGAAGTACATCTACACAAACTTCGTGGCTCAATTAGAGAGATTCACAACGGTAAATGGATTAGTGTAGAAAAACCTTATGTTTCTCCTTTACTTTTAAAAGTTAGTCATGTTGAAGATGAGTCTGAAATCAAATTAGAAGATTTAACTAGTTTATTTAATAATTTCAAAAAAGAAATTATGGATGAAATGAAATCTCTGGCTTCAAAAGACGAGTTAAATATAAGTTAGGCTAAAAAATCTACTTTTTATGTATATTTTTAAAACCTTATTTGAATATAAAATTTCAACTAAATTATGAAGCTATTCATTTGAATGGCTCATTCAGAAATTTAGTTTATTTGCTCTATAGCCTAATTGTTTTGCGACTCATTTTCCTATAACATATTTCTTTAACGGCCATTTTGCAACGCCTCTGGTATAACTAATGATGGGACCTCCTGAGTTATTAATGATTAATAATAATGTTTTTAATAATTGATCGACATTAACTAATAACGACTTAATCTATGATGCAGCTAATTGATACAGAATGTATGAAAAATGACAAGTCGTTAATACTTTCATCGATAATTTCAATATTTTCTTAAATAATTACTTAAATACTTATTGCAGATTAAAATTTATTTTATTTTATTAAAAGTGAATGAATATTAAAAATTATTGATCAAAAAAATATTTTTTTACCAATCTAATTGCTAAAGCAATTTATAATTTTGGATAGTAAATATAAACCTTAAATTTTCTAGCAACTATCAACCAAATACATAATATCTATATTTATTAACCAAATTGCTACAAGTAAAATAATTTAAATTGTTATGAAAATAAAAAAAGACACTACTCATGAATTTATATAAGATGCTTAAACTGTATGCACTTATAATCAATTATAAGTAATAAATACATTGAAAATAAAATAATTCTGCAATCTAAATAAATGTTATTATAAATTTGTGTTGAAGTTGATATTAGCATTATAAATTCATAAAGGTATAAGAAAATTATTATACTTTTTAAATTACTGTGTCCATTGATTTTCATATATAATACTAGCAATCAAAAATCTAAAATAAATGCAAATTTGTGATTGGTTAAAATAATTTTTAGCTAATCACTTATTGGCATTTTTTTAAAATTTCTGATTTCTAGTGTGATTTATAAAAATTATTTGAAAAGCATAATAATTTATTAAAATAAATATAATTTCCTATATATTTATTTAAATTTTAAACTCAAAAATTTTCAAAACCATTAAGTATATTATTTATTAATACAATTAAAGCAAATTCAAAATTTTAAATTTAAACTTACTGCATATATAGAATTATTGAATATAAAAATTTAATGATTTTTTAATACTTTTAGAATTAAAATATCTACAAGCATTGGAATAGTTTCTTTATTATTTAAATCAAGTATATAAATATTATTTATTAATTTATTAAATATTTAATTTAAAAAAAATGTATTTATCATAACATGTAACATTTAAATTTTGTTATAGAGTTATATATAATAGTAATTTATCATTAAATAGTAAAAGCAATATATGTATATATATCTAATACAAATATAAAGTTATATATACATATATACAAATATAAATATATTAAAATATTATATTATATTAGTATTTAGTACTGTTGTATAATAATTAAAACATTGTGCCAAATTAAAATTAGCACTATTTTAATACTGTATCTGATATTTGTAAAACTCTATATATA